TTTTTTTTTTTTTATCTTTGTATTTCAAATGTTCATTGCTCACTCTAGCGATGTCTAAAATAGCTTCTTACCTTGTGTCTATTACCTCTATGATTGATCCTTCTTTGCACAAAATTCTTTGTGCTCTCTACAATTTCCAATTGAGTCTGAACTTTGTAGATTGACACACCACACAAGAGTCTTCTCTGGCCTCTGCCACCTTGTCAAACCTCAACCCCATTGTCTCCTTTCCTTGTTCTCTTCTCTTACTTCTGTGAAATCAGAATTTCTTGTAATTGAATGAGAGTGTCTATGTTTCTGATTGTGTTTGTTCCTCTTTCATAGAACAGCCTTGTACACTTCCTCAAAAGGCCACCATCCCATTCATCCCTAAGAGTCAGCATTGTTACCATGCTGCTTTTGTTCTCATTTACTCTTTCTATCTGTAGTTCTGCAACAACCCGAGTATCTTTTGTCCCACATTGTACATTGTATTTTTATCTTTGTCCTTATTTGTTTTTATGTCAGGCCCTGTGCCCTATTTACTTTTGGGATACCTGAACTTCAGTATTTAAGAATTAATTGATAGGGCAGGGATGTAGTTTGGTACCTTGTCTGCTGATATCCCGTATTACTTTAAAATTATGGAATACCACAAATCTGTGTCTCAGTCTTTTCAAGACCTAGAAGGAACTCTTTGGTCTTTACCTCAATTATGGAGTTAATAACTGTAAGAACACAATTATACTAAGATACAATGTGTACTTATATATATGATCAGGATATATATGAATCAATCATGAAGTGGTTGTAAGGCAATAATTAATAATAATGCCATATCACTGTTAGAATTAGAAAGGATTTTATTAATGAAAATTCACCAATTCAGTTAAAATTGCTTTTTAATTTTTATTCTCTAGACAGTGATCATTTTAAGTGCTTCCTGGCTTTAATTTGGATAATCCTTTCCTTTCTTCTCAATTTCATGCTGTTAGCATTCAGATGCTAATTGAAAAATTCTTAGTTAGCACCCAGCTGTTAACTGAGAAGTCACCAAGTTCCCAGAACACCAGGACATACTCCAGTTAAGCTGGCTCTTCTGTTGTCCTTCATGATTATTTACTTCACATTTAAATTGCATTTCCTTCTAATTTTTGTTGTTGTTACTTATTTTTGTTACTTTCTTTCAGTTTGTTTATATTTTATCTTTCTAGAGACAACATGACTGAAACTGGTTTAAATTTTTGAATGTAGAGGCCCCTTATATAGTCCTTGAGATTTTAAAAAAGTACTTAATATTGCTAAAAAATGTTTGTGGGTCCTGAATAATGACTGGGAGGGCAATAGAAAGAAAACATTTTAAAAAATTTGACTGTGACATAAACTAGTCACCACTGAACGGACTTTTAGTGAAAATGTACACTCTATTTTAAAATATGGGCAGACTTCATTTTGTTGCACTTTCTAGATACTGTGTTTTTCAGAAATTGAAGTTTTGTGACAACCCTTTGTCGAGGAAGTCTGTCAGCACCATTTTTCCAACAGCATATGCTCACTTCATATATCTTTGTCACATTTTGGTAATTGTCAAAATATCTTAGATTTTTTCACAATGTTATTGTATACTAAATAGGCTACAGTATAGTGAAAAATGAAAGTTTTTATGTCCTGGGAAACTGTAAAATTCCTGACTCACGTTATGGCAATATTCATTCTGTTGAGGTGATGTGGAACAATATTCATTCTATTGAGGTGATATAGAAAAACTTACAATATCTCCAAAATATGCCTGCATTTTTTTTAAGGTATGGTTTCCTTTCCACTGCCTGTACCCCTACCTTTCCCCCATCCATTTAAACAGTCTTGACGGTAGAGGCCTGCTGGTTAGACTATAATGCTTAGATATCAAATACAACATTAATAAATATTTTAGCCAGCAGGAATTGAGACCCCTGTTGGTGCCGTAATCCAAAAGGGGCACTTTAAATTCATATAAACCTTGCCTTAAGGGATTGTGAAAAGACAATTTAGGGAACAGCATGAGGTTAAACATATTGATTAGTAGTCTGGTGGTTCTATCTAGACTTTGGTAGAATGTAGGCTTCGAAAAATAAAGGCATCAACAACAAAAGATGCCATACTTTAAAGAGAATTTTGGATTTCCCTCCATTATATGATTTTTAGATGATGAAAGAGATATTTCAACTAGGAATTTTTTTTAAAAAAAATCAGAGATTGAAAGTTTAAGTGATATAAAATATTAACTAAAAAAAATTGTGATTTTTATGGGTGACCCTGGAAGATATTATGCTGAGTGAACTATCTCAGTTACAAAAGGACACATACTTCATAATGCCATTGTTATAAAACAGGACTGACTTAAGGTTTGGGGGAAGCTGAGAAAACAGTGCAATGCACACCACATTGAAACAGATGAGGGAGAGAATTGTTTAAAAGGAATATATTGTTAGGTATTATTTGCATGACAAGAGTCCAGAATAAGAACTGCATAGGAAAATGGACTGTGGGGTGGGGGTTGTATTTTTGTTGTTGTTATGTGCCATCTAGTAGTTTGCGACTCATAGCGACCCTATGTACAACAGCCCTAAACCCTGCTCTATTCTCTGCCAATCATATTGCCTCTGACACACCCATTCTGATTACCCCAGTCACTGAATCAATCCACCTCAGAGAGGGTCTTCCTCTCCTGCTGTCCCTCTACCCTACCAAGCATGATGTCCCTCTCCAAGGACTTATCTCTCCTTACAACATGTCCAAAGTATATCAGACGAAGCCCCAGAATCCTTGCCTCCAAGGAGTAGCCTGGTTTAACTGTTTCTAGGATGAAT